AATGGGTAGGATCCAAGCTTATTATTACAAATAAAGGGAATACACAAATCACTTGGATCTGATAGACTTCTGCTCTGCAAACTCAGTACTCCTGTGGAAAAAGAAGGGTGGTTTTTAATAATATCTCCTCCTTCCTCAACTGTTGGAAGTGTCCAGCATTGTTTTAAAGTATGGATACACTGTGGTGGGACTGAATGTGGATGGTGATAGGAAAAATGGGGGTGATCCCAACAGGAAGTAGACGTATCCACAATAAAACGTGCATTTGCTTTTTTAAAAAAAAGCCTCAAACCCTCATCTTCTCTTTTTCCTTAATCCATCCCCTCCCATTTTATCCAATCTTAAATTTAACTAGCGCTGAAAATGACAGAGCTGACTAGGGAATGGTGGCCACCTAAAAGGCCCTGGGAGACCACAGACCACTTTTTTCTAGAGGGTTCTTTAATCCATAAATAAATTTTGAGCACATATGTAATTGAAGGGGAGGGGAGAAATGGTTAGAAATTGCCTTTCTGCTAGCGGATCATGAAGATGGCAAAACTGCAGAAATGGCTAAATTGACCTGTTTGATTAGGGAAGGAGCAATAACTACTTTTATAAAAGACTGGAAACCCTTTTTGGACTTTTTGCTGAAAATGGATAAAAATGAACTAGTGAACTCTGGATTTACTGATTAAAAAGGACTGCATATGGGAAGAAGGGAGCTATGTTATATAATTTGGGAGGGTGGAAACAGTATTAACTATGTTTGTAACTGTTGCAAAGATTGGGAGTTGCTTCTTAATATTTCTTTTTTCTTTTCTTTCTTTTTTCTGGATCTATACTGTCATTTACCTTTCCTATCTTTTTTTCTTTCCAATCTTTCTTTTTATATCTTTTTTGTTTTTCTATAATATTTTTTTATTTTTCTGTAGCTTTTAACTTTGTAAAAAAAAATCAATTGTGTGTGTGTGTGTGTGTGTGTGTGTGTGTATAAAAAGAAGAAATTGCCTTTCTGCTCATGGTATATCTAGTTTGTAAATTACACTCTGCAATTCTGGACCAAGGCTAATATAATCTACCCCTTTTGAACTTACTATTAGAGACATGGATAATGGTGATGGGCATAGCAGCAGCAAGAGCAGTTGTATTTACAAATGTATTCTCTTACACACAGTGCTGATTATCATATTCTGAAGTGAAGGAGGAACAAAGGAGAGATTACATGTTGCATGAGTTCATTGTATATAGCAGGGCCAATTTAAGGGAATTACAGGATATGGAGCTGCATTGGGCCCCTGAAAGTAGGGGTCTTCTCAGCAGAGGCCCTCCTCACATATTCCTCCCTCCCTGCACTCTGCCAACAACTTTCTCCTATTTTTACATAATGTGGAGAATGCTGGTGTATAAAGCATGCCAAGGTGTCTCTCTGATATCCACATCCGCACTTAGTTACCATTTGATAAATGTATTGTTATATGAAGTGAGATCTAAAATGACAGTGTTTTTTTTGGCAACAAACAGAGGTAGCTCATTCTACCTTTTTCTTTTTCAAAAAAGGAACATTTTGAAAAATGTTCAATTAAAACATGATTATACTGTGCAAAAGTGCCTAATTCCAGAATTGCAGGAGGCAAGTAGAGAAGAAGCATTAGCTGTGGTGCTTGGGAAAAACTGCTTCAGGACTCTATAAGCTTCAACCAAGCATGCCTAAAGCTTCTAATAAGCAACTATTAAAAGAGATTTCAAAGATTGATTAACACATCAAATCTAGTTTAAGTACAAAAGATTTTTAATTTTAATTTCATTTTTTTAAAAAAGTCAACATTTAATATTTAGAAATGCAACTATGCAATTATACATGATGAGAGGAAAGGTTGAAAATAAGTCGATACCCCTTCCTTTACTCTTGATTTCAATCATTGCAGAAATTCTATATGAGGCTACAGCAT